TTGCTGCCATTGAGGTCTAACAAAGACATCTGTGTTAGAGAATTGTGCAGTGTGCGTGCTACTGCCTGTACGTCTCCCGTGAAAAGTGTGTAGAGCTGTGCTTTCGATGCTCGTGCGAATGGGCGTGTGCAGTATCACACAGTCGGATATGAGACAAGCTAGTCAGGGTCCGAGGCAGCCACAGGGAAACTCTCTGTGGGCTTGTATCATCCAGCTCTGGTTTTAGTGCCTCTGACTATGCTTAGTGAACTCAAATCCCACATATAGTGGGATGCTTTGATCCACAAAGTCTGCTGCCCACTGCAGAGCATCTTAAGTTCTGGGACTGGGCAGTAGGGACCCCATGAGAACTTCCAAACCTTTTGAGCTCCTTGTGCTTCCCTTGCTGACAGAGAAAAACAGAACTTACTACCCAGCTCATTGGGTGGTTAGGAGCTAGGTAGTATAGGAAGACCTCTTGAAATACCACACTTCAGCATCCAGATAAATACTGTAAGTATGATTGAAGAGCTTTAAAAAAGAAAAAAAAATTATGCTTACAAAGTCACAACTGTAGCAAGTACTAATTGGTTTGAGGTAATAGATGGGAATGAATCTATTTCTGTTTTGTGGTTGCTCTTCCTCGCTATTTGGATTTTTCTGTTTATTTAAAAGCTTGTTGTTCTGCTGAAATATGCTTGCAGTCTATTTCTGCTAAACAAATACAGGTCATAACCAAGTTAAACACCTTATTAGATTATGTTTATAGTAAATAAATAAAATCATTCCCTTTACTATGGAATTTTTATTCAAATGAGCCAGCTGTCCTGCATTTGTTTCAGGAGGACATTCTTTAGTTGTCATTGTCTAGAGTTTCCCCCTCCTCACCCCATGTTTTATTCAATGCCTGTGAAGCAGCCTTGAGGCTTAACCCCTGCTTTGGGTATTGGCCATTGGTGGCCTTCATGGATAAGGCTCCTGCAATTCAGAATAGGTTACGATTTGGTTATGGGGTTGAGAGCTCGTGGTTTCATGTGACTGCTGCTCTCTACTCCTCCCCCTCACTTCCATCTCATGTACACATTCTCTAGATCCCAAATGAAACACAATTAGTGCTTTGTTCTCTCAGATCTCTGTGATAGCTGGCATCACATCACTAGAGAAACCCTCAAAGAACAAGTCTGAGTTTAGCAACTAAAAATGGGCATTGGATCTGTTGACAATGTCTGCTTTAACAGGTAAAACTCAGTGAGTCTTAAAACAGGAGTTCAGTGCCATTGTTTTGTCCATTTATTGCTTAAGACAGAAGATGAGTTTCTTGACAGGCTACAGAAAAACCTGCGTGTGCTCCCACGTGAGTCCAGGCTCCCCTTCTCTGCACAGCCTGTGCTGGGGTCTGTCCGAGTGCTGTACTGGCCTTCTTGAACTGCCAGACCTTCTCTCTGCTGTGTCTTCAGCATGGTTAATGCTTGCAAGCAGTGACCTTATTTTGAGTGTGCTCTATTTGTTTTAATCAAACTGTGCTTTGTCCAAGTTAGCGATACAGATACCTCCTTTGCTGGCCAGTGGAATGGTTGTCGTGATATTTATACACCTTGAAAGGCTATGCAACACAGAGGCTGACTCCAGAGGCTCTTTACGACTCTGATAGCATTGAAATGATGCATCAGGTTGGCCTTGTGCAGATTTCCTGATTAGATAGGAATGTTGGGCTTTTGGGAGTCTATAACCCAAAATTCTGTGTGAGTTCAGTGCCTGACCTTATGAATTATCTGAGCAGTCCCCAGGATTCAAAGAATTCTCCAGGTTCTGAATAACTCTGTGGTTAGCAATGCTAGCTGCAGGACTGTACAGCCTTAATTTCTAAAGGGAAAAAACTGCTTTATATTGAAAATGAAGTTTAGGCAGAAATGTTTTTAGCGTTCATTAGGCTTTTGTATTTAACACATCTTATGCAAGTCTGGTGCATCCCAGATCACTTGAGAATGAAGTTTCATGCCTTGTTCTGGGCTTTTCTTTATTGCTTCAGGGAAACAAAGACATTTGTTTACAGTCTGTTCTTTACTGAGCATCCAAGTGTTTGATGTTAGGAGTTCTTTTATGTGTACTGAGTTACAGGCCCTGACTTCTCTATCCTTTTTTTCCCATGTTTTATGATGTGTTACTCCAGCAATCTAACAGCAGTTCTCTTTAATTCTTGCTTGATTTTTCAACTTTGCTTCTAACCTGAGAGTTAGCCAAACTGACTTCCACAAGGCCGATTTCCCCTCAGTTTGCTTGGAAAAGATGAAGGAGAAGCACTGGGGTATTCCCTGCAGATATTGTAGGATAGCAATATTTGCTGAGCCTTGCAAACCTGAGGTTCTGGGTTTGACTGGGAAGGTTGCTGAATCTCTTTCTCAGAAGAGAGCTTGGTCCAGTGCACTTCTTTCATTTTTCTAGTTGCCCTTACTCCTGTAGTACTTTGGCTTTAGCATAAACTGTTGCCCCTATCAAAAACCCAGTGACCTGTCCTTTATTGCCGCGTTGGCGATGCGTACTCTGCTCATGACTCTTACTAATTTGAAAACCACGGGTTGCAATTTCCTTTAACTACTAACTGCTACTAGTTTAATCTCTTTGTACAGACCTCCTTGGGGTTGAAAACTCCTGGGATGGGGGCCTATTATTATTTGTGCCTTGTGGGAAGGAAAAAGCCATCTGCCAATAAAACTCTCATCCAGAAGGCGTGTAACTTACAATAAAAACCCGCCCTCCCATCCACCTTCCCTGCAGAGTGGGTGATTGTATGTTTTTTGCCCTCTGTTCAGAAAAAGGGACCCGGTTATTGCCGGCAGTAGGGGGGCTGCTATATTTATCGAGGCCAAGTGAGCATGGCCTCTTGGTAAGATGGTTTAATGGATTTAGATTGCTAGACTAGGGGAGTTTTTGCCAGACGTGCACTGGGAGCACGGATAATTAGAGTTTGAGAACAAGTATTGCAGGTAAGTAATTTTCTGTGTGCAGAGTGCATGGGTTCTGTGGCTTTCTCTGCGTAAGTGCTTTGTGTTGCTGTCTTGTTTCGGTGATCAGCTCTCTAACGTCTTCAACGTTGTCGGTTTGTTTTGCAGGAGCTATTGGTTACATGGGAACAAGTGCCTTTGTTCGAAAAATCTACACTAATGTGAAAATTGACTAAGGAAATAAGAAAATTGAACTATGGATCAGTTCCTGTTTTCATGGGGATGAACTGGCACAACAAAAAGCGCGAGAAGAGATTTGGGTTTTAACACTGGGCACTGTATGAGTCTCCATTTTGTGGATGGCTTAAAGTAACATCTATTTCATTGATCCTAGGTTCTTACTGACTGCTTTCTCCAACTGTTCACAGCAAAATGCTTGGATTATATACAGTAGGCATTACTACAGTACGTGGCTAATCTTCCCCAAAAAAACAAAAAACCTAGCTCATTAAAGATGAATAGACTAGCTCTCTTCAGTGAAGAGGACAAACGGTTTATTTAAAGCATTTGTTCCATTCAATAAAAAGAGGGAAACTTGGCTGCTAAAACTACTTGATTAGTAGTCTTCCTGGTACTTAACATTTCTAAATTATGTAAAAATGCTGTTCCAGAAAGATTACTCTTCTGATTTTTACTGCCATTGCCAGGGTAGGAGGTATGTTTTGTATTTTGACTCCAGGTGCTTTTTGGTTTATTTGCGGTATCAACTATACCCTACACTCATTTGTTTAAAAAATAATTTAAAAATATATAAAAACCCCATATGCATGTAATATATCAGCTATTGTTCTAGTTGGACCAACTTCCCTTTATTTATCTTTAAAGTAATATCCAGCTACATTTTAAATCCATCCAAAGAAAATACAGTCTGAAGACGGGATGTGTTCTCTGCAATGCAATTTACTGTACAGTTAGAAAGCAAAATGTTAAATGAAGAGGATTGTTTTTTAATAAACACTTTGAGGTCTAGATTAAAACAAAACCAACATTTTAACTGAATGTCTAAAGTGATTCTCCTTTTTTCCCAGTTAGTATTGCTTTTTTTTTTTTGGGTTTGAATGAAGATTTTTCTTTAGACATCATTATACAAGGGGTAATAAGTGTATATAACATTAAATAATGTAACTTAGGTGTAGATCCCAAATGTATTTGGATGTACAGATTTACTACAGAGTACTTTTCTGATGATTCGGTGTAAAAATGTGTGAATTTGGGTGGCTTTTTACATCTTGCCTGCCATTGCATGAAAAGTTGGGGTTTCTTCACAATGTGTGTATGTTATGCTTTTCTGTTCTATTTCCTTTCTCAAGCTCTTACAGGAATTAAATTTGTAATTTAGAACATTTTAATTTTTGTTAATCCTATCTGGACACTTGTGTAACATCCGAAGCACAGTTGCTTTAGAGTGTTCAGAAAAAGTAAAATAAACTTTTCAGACAAAAACGTTCTGACTGTGAAAGTAGCTGAGTTTGCAATTGAAAAGGCAGTACTGCTGAACGCCAGTTTCTGTATACAATATTAATGTGGTTTTCAGATATCAAACCCCCACGCTTCAAATTCAGAATTTGCTTCAGAAAACAGTGCCAAAGTGGACGGATGACCTGCCCAAAAAGATTCTTCTTGGCTGAACGGTTTGTGGAGAAATCTGTTTTGTGATCAAGCTAGTGTACTGAGAAAAGAGGGGGTAAGCCTGGACTGAAATAAATGGGCAAATAAAGGTTAAGTCTTTCTAAGATGACTGTTAATTATGCGCTGTGTTTAGCTAGACATATCCTGAATGTTTGTGACAGATTTGAGAGCCCGTTGGCTTGATTTTTTTAATCTATTTTATTTCTTTTAGGCGTCTGCCACGTAGGGATGTTTCCATCCATGTGGCTGGCTGAAACAGAGCACCTGCCACGGAGGAGGCAACTTCCTGAATTTAAAAAACGAGCAAAATATTTGTATCGATTATCACAGTATTGTCTCCCGTGTAAAAAGTACCAATGATGCAGTAGCCACAGTGAGAACGGCCATGTGCTTTGGCAGGGTCAGGCTGGAGGTTGGGAGGAACTGAACCGGTCGGTGACGGTGAGAAGCGGTGCATCCTGCTGTATATGGCTTCTGAAAAGTATTTGAGCTTTCAGCTCTCCATTTCCCTGGATATTTTTAACCAATCTGCCAGAAAATAATGAAGTCTTCCTTCTAGTGAATGGTCGGTGTCTGTACCTGAACACTCTGCCATTTAAAGGAAGATAATTCCTTAAATACAGGCTGATTTTAAGGTGAACTTACAGACTTAACTGTTAAGTTTTCCTTTGTTCCAAAACGTGAAGACTGGAAGCAAAGAGTGGGTTTTGTACTAGTTGTTGCTAGTGCACACATCTGTGGGAAGCCCTCTTTCCATCCATGTTCTTCTAAACCTGAAGTGAGAAGCCATTATCTCCACACAATAAATACATTAAGTACTCCACTGAGATACACGGGTTTTTTTGAGAGAGAATATGTTGATAATGGGTCTGTTTCTCTATTTAGAGCACTGCTATGTGATTAGTCTATCAGAAATGTCACTAAACCGTTTGTGAATTTCATTTAATCACTTTTTAATGCCACAGAATGGTGGGCTGCCTACTTGCTTTCTCTATCCTCTGGCATTATTAGCTTTTGCATATCCAGATAGGATTGTATAGCTTTTAAAGTGACATTGAAAAGATACTTACAGCACAGGCATTGCTTTTGTATCTGCAAGCACGTTCCTCTGGAGAAGCACGGTGTTTAAATAATTGCCATTTTTATACTCCCACCCTAGTGCGTGAGTTGGGGGGTTGCTTTGTTTTCCCCCCTGCCTTTTGGTTTCTGAAGGAGTGCAAAATGTGACCAGTTTTCAACAGCTTGTCTGTATGGTTGCTGTTTGGAGTAAGGCTATTTATTTGCCCCTCAAAAACTGTGGGTATAGCTTGAACCATCTTGCTTAATAGAAATCGGAAGCTCTCTGCTTAGATGATGTAGTCCTTCCTCTTTTGTGGAAGAAATAAAGATTTTACAGCCAACACCCCTCTTTCCATGGTTGTTTCTTAGGAGTTTCTGGGTCTTGAATTCAAGCTTTTTCCCAGCCCTTCAGTTGGCTACTCGGTGCTTCTCTTCTCGCTTCTGGTACAGAGGCCAGAGAATCGGGTAAATAGTTGTGTAGCAATAGCCAGTCTTGACCAAATGCTCTAGTTAAATACAACTGTAAATCTTTTCAGTCGAGGCACAGTGCTTACAGAAAGCGATGCTGGTACTTCATGTATGAAAAGTGGTGAACGCCAGGTGGGAGGTAATGGAGACTGCAAATAAACAGTACGTTACGCTCTTTTTTTTTTGATGTCTGAATGTTTTCAAGCAACAGTGTCTATTAATTCCTCTCCAGAATTACACTCCAAAGTGTATAAAAGGCACAATTAAACTGCTTTCTGTATGACAGTCTAGGTGTTGTTCTTTAACAAGTTTCAGATTAAAAACACAACCAAAAGCTTAGTGTTTTTAAACTTCTGGTGCTAAAACTGGGTAAAATTGAAAGCACTGTCATTACTGCAGAGCAACACAAATGAGAAAGTTACATTTAGCTCTGGCTTCAGCATCACTATCATCTAGCCAAATTTGCCTGATGAAGTCTATGTACCCAGCTTCTCTGAAGACGGCAGAATTGCGTAACTGTGAGTGCATCAGCAGTTTCTCCGCTGGCATGTGTCCGAAAAGTATAAGCTCAGGAAAAAAACAAGTCTCCTTTCCAGTCTGTGGACCAGTAAACTGAATAGTTGGAGCAAGATAAGAGGTGTCCTCTTATCTTGAATTCTTAACTGTGCAGCTTGTGGTTCGTTAGCAGAGGCTGTTGGAGAAGGATTCCATTTTTCGGTCCCTTGGGTATTTTCTAGCCGAGTGCCCTGTGGTAGCAGCAGCCTTGCAATGGCCACTAGCACTGCCGCTCTCAGACGAGCGTCTGACAAGGGCTAGCGCTGGAGGCACGAAAGCCCCTGCTCTTGCTGGACTCGGTTGGAACAAAGCCACGCGTCAGCACTTTGAAGCGGCGCATACACGGCTCACCTTCTTCAGGAGCGTCTTTCCTGAGAAATGGTTTGGTGCCGTCTGTTTTCTAAAGCCTTGCAAGGGAATATTTCCTTTTTGCTGAATAGCTTTGGTGAGAAAAGCCTCGTTTTCTGAGGAGATGTCTGCATGCGAATTCTGCAGGTAGTTCCGTGCATCTTGCGGTTTCATCCAGGAGGTGCTTTTTCAGTTGGAGGGAGGGGCTGTTATAGCATTTACTTTCATAGATAGTTTTGTTGTTCTTAACCCCCAAAACTGAAGAAAAAAATTATGGCTTGGGGTGGGGTGAAGATGGGAGAACCCATGAATCTGGCAGGGTTTGTGCAGTTCCAGTAAATGGAAGCAGTTCTTGGAGAGAATCACTTTAAAGGGCAGAAATTCAACTGGGCTGTTTTACCTGGTGGACTAACCTGCATCAGCGGCAGGCCTCGAGGCAAGTTTGCTGTTACAGCGTCGTTTGCCCCCAGCCCCGTATGTACCAGTCAGAGTCTTCGTTTTCATTGACGTATGCGCTGTGGTGCAAGGCTTTTGCAATAAACCAAGGATTCATCCGTCGGGAGCAAGGGTGATGATGTTAGTTGCTACCAGCATTAGGTTGTTGATAGGTTAACTTCCTTGCCAGCTCCTAGTAGTACAATACAGAATAATATGTCGAGTACCTCTGGAGGTTCTGCCATGCTACGTCTTCATTACTTAGGAAGACCAAACCCATAGGAACTTTCCTTGTGTTCTGGACAGAAGATCTCCTTCAAGACCTTGGGCTTGGAGCATTCCAACACATAACTATACAAGTTCATACTTACCCTTCGGCTGGCATTGCATGACTACAGCATTCCAGAAAATACATACATTTTTAGAATTAGGAGTTTACATGCCATACACAAAATATGTAATTTTATGGAACAGTTGTTTTAGTGTTTTCTCGTCAAATACTGTGAAACATGCTTACCCATATGATGCAGAAGTTACCTTGATAGATTCCAGTTCACCAAAGCACAAGCCTACGCCCTATAGATTTGGAACACTATGCTGGGTCTGGGCTGAAAAGTCCAGTCTGGTAGTTCTAACACGCTGACCAACCTAGAAAAACGAGCTACAGTTAGGCACCTCGATGCTGATCTTTTTTTCCTGAAGGTGGTGTGTTGCAAGCTTTTGGTGGTTTCTGAAAGGTTTTGAGAGCTATAGTAACTAACTGTCGCTGAGAAGCTTCGTGTCATGGCTGCGAACATCGTGCTGTTGAACTCAAGGAAGGTTTTGTGCCTCATTTTGTGGTTAATTTTCATTTCTCACAGGTTTGTCTCAGGAATTTTGGAGATGTACTAAAGCACTAGACAATGCACGGTGAGGTTTTTTGGGTACTAGAGATTTAATGCTCCCTCTGAGTTCATTTTATGCTGTTTTTTCGTTCTGCATCACTAATCTTGGTTTAGCTGCATCACTTTATTGGGCTGAGAAAAATGGATTGTATTACTGGCTTAGCATGAAGGTTTTCTTGTTTCGCTACAGAGAAGCAGCTACAAGAATGGGATGGAAATGCTCGCCTCGTTTCCTTTCTAACGTCTGGCCAGAAGTTGGCAGGTGAATTGGCGAACATTGCCTACTGTTGGTTTAAAAAGAGCTCTGCCTTGCAGAGACAGACACCCATTCACCTGCAAGAACTGGAGACTTGTGATACAGGGTGGCAGAGATGCTGGGAGGTTACATTTGGACTCTGCAGAATCATGTTTAGTAAAATGAATTGCTGAGCTCCAAGTTGATTTTTGTTAAGGATTTATGTGTTCATCTTGCTACCAGAAAGTGATCGAATGCCCACCACATTTTTTTTGCTATGTACAGCACAATAAGTAACAAAAAAGGAAATCACTGTTCCTCTTCAGTGACCTAGAGAGTGACGTGTCAGACAAACCTGTTTTAAAGGACTGCTTGCCTAAGGAGAGGAAATACCTGCATGTTCTGTGCCCTAGCCAGGTGTGTCATTTGGATGGAGGTTGCTACAGATAAACCTATGTACAGAAATCCTGTGCAGAAACTGTAATTGGGAAATTCTCTAAGGCAGTTCTCCATGAAGCAGCATCTCTGCTTTTTTGAGAGATTCATTAAATTCTACCCACAAAAGAGCCTAAACTCGGGTAGCGTATGCTACCGGCCCCTGTAAAGGGTGCCTGCGGGTGAACAGGTAAATGCAACTATCCCGACTTCCTCTCGTAGCAGAGGCTTGGAGGAATGTTTTTACTTGCCCACATCCATCCCTTTGGGGAAAGAGAACAAAATGAAGGCAGATTTTTTCCTATGGCAAAACATACTTAGGAAAGACCAGTGGATTTACCTTTCAGAGTTTTGAACTGACAGATGTTTTCCCAAAGGTGTTCCCATGCCCTCCT